GTAGATCAGACAACACTTCTCGAATGCTCCAACCCTTTCAAAGTGTGATCACTTTTACTTCTATTCTTCAAAATCTGAACTCGATTGTAAAAAAATCAAATCCTGTTTTTCATCTGAAATATCTGAATCTTCAATATAGCTCCAATTCCGATGAGATAGAGAACAATATAACTAAATCACTCATGAATATATATGTGTGCTCTTAAAAATAAATTCAGAATAATCAAATTTGATTTTTTGAATTTTCTCTCTCAAAAAGGCTTTCTCAAAATATAGAATTGATTTTCTCTAAAGCCATCCATCAATCAATGTATATGACATGGTTTATATAGAGTTTATAAGTCCTAATCCCTCTAAAAATATGCAAAATTTCGTGCATATGACTTTAGAAAGAGTTGGGATCAAAAAGGAAACTTCCAGAAGAAGGAAACTAAAATTAGAATACAACCAGGAGACCTTGAACTAGTTCAGAGAGGCTGAACCGGTTCAAGAAGGCCAATAATGAATCCCACGGATTCTTAAACCGGTTCAGCCCCCTTGAACCGGTTCAAGATGGCCAGTCTTGAAATTTTTCCAATTCTGTTGATATTAAACCTGTTCGATAAAACTTGAATCAGCTCAAGATAGACAAAAGGTAAAAACTTGTTCCGAACCTTTCAAAACCCTTCCTAAATGTTCTTACTACCTCTCAAACCTTCATAGAGCATTGTTCTCATCATCTCGGAGTATACTATATCATGAACACTTGAACTTCTTCAAATCCGCATCCGATCTTCAATCTTTGAAATTTTGAACCAAAAAATTACAACTCGATCGGACTTGTTTTGTCAATGAAATTAGCCGATTACAAAATATATATCTCACACATTCAGGCCAAGAAAGTTCAATCTACATGGAAGGTCAATATTGATTGTGTAGTGACTGTTCTTTGTTCATTGAACAGATTAGGATAAATCACACCCATTTCACTTATATGGAAGAATTTGGCATGGTGTTTATGTCTGTGCACAAATGTTCTTGTGTTTGTGTTTATTCTGCATAACAGTCCTCTAGGTTCGATTAAAGCCGGTGCTCCGGTGAACACCACCTAGATTTTCTCTCCCATGTGAGGTGTGCAAGGGGGGAATGGCTGAAGATAAACCTAACTTTAGTGTATTGGCTTCCATAAAAGTCGCTGATGTGGGAAAGTTATAGTTGATAAAGTAGGCATCATTACTCATCAATACGAAAATTATCATCCCCGGTGAAGGATGTATTAGATTAGGGCTTTTAGTAATTAAACAAAGTTCCTCGGGTCATTAAAAGTTGTGGGCATGCTCTGTTTTTCTTTTTTCGTTTATATATTTATATATATTGATAGGTAAAGAACACATTCACATAACTCAGACACTTCCAAACAGGTGGTTGTTAGTCTGATTTGTCTTGATCTGATCAACACCATGCCAGCCATGATAAATGTAGCATTTAGTGCTTGAACATGTAAATTGTAATGTACTATTAGCCTCATAAATGATTAAAAAAACTGTCAATATTTAGAGTATACAAAGTGGAAGAACTGCAACGGGAACATATCAGGTACGTACAGTTAAGAATCAGAACAGATCAGGTACGCACAATTAAGGGGTTAATGCCTTTTCAATTCTCTGATCCTCTTTCTATCAATCCTATTATGAGTACTCTGTTCAGTGTGTTTATTTAAAGGTAAATACTATCATGATGGTGCTCTCATTAAGCATGCACTTGCCTTGAGGTGTTACGGTACGTCTTCTCGTTATGCATCTTAATGCGTTTATTTGATTAGTACATTACTTAAAACTAAGGTAACAAGCATGCCTTCATGCAGTTGGATATGAATCTCCTCAAATTAGACAAGATTCAATTGAATAATAGTGAGTCTTGCTTGAGCATGATCAACGTGATCAAACTATAGCGATCATGACAAAAGAGTAATGAAGTACTGAGCATCGCTTTGTGAATAATTTCGAAGGCGAGTATAACATTGTCTTAGGCCCCATAAAACTAAGGGTACAAGCATGCAGTTCGATATGAATCTCCTCAAATTAGAAAGATAAGATTTAGTTGAAAATAGTGAGTTTAGCTTGAGCATGATAAACGTGATCAAACTGTAGCAATCATGCAAAAGAAGTGATTAGTGATGTTAACTAAGAGTACCCAACTGTTAGCATCCAACTTAATTTTCATTAAAGACATAATTAAGCTATCTGATTGCTTTGCTTTGTCTGAAGGTGTGAAGTCTGTTCATATAAAGAAGAGATGAGCTCATATTTTGGCAAATGAGGTTTTAACTTTCAGAGGTAGTTAGAGCCGTTGAAAATGATTCTATTCAGAGCTGATCTTTATACTAAAATCTATTTCTTTCCCTAGAAAAATAAGTAAATAAATAAATAAATGACTAAGACGAGTTAGGTTTTGTTTGATAAAATAAATAAATAAATAATAATAAATTGAATACATATTAAAAAATTTAAGTATCTGAATAAAATACAACCTCTCCCTACCTGAGAATTTAGGAACAATACATACTTCTTTTAATGGTAAAGCAAACACAAATACCCTTTTGCTCGTGTCCGAGTTTGAATTCCTCTCTTTCTCTTTGAGAATAGATAAGTTATACCGTTGGGGTTTAAATCTTTCGGTATGAATAATACGGGAGAATAGTAGAAGAAAGTATATTGTCGCGTTGCCTTGATGAAGAAAACGCACTGAACCACCTCCATTAAAAATGATGTGCCGTCTGGAATTGGAACAACTGGTGGGATAAATTCATTTTTGAATATGTATAATGACAATGTCGTGTTATGACTTGTATACGGTACCTTGATGATGATGTGATGTATAAAGATCCATAGTGATACGGATTTTATAAATTATTTGTAGAGAAGGGCCCCTGATTTTGATGTTGCAATGCTTCATTTAGTATGTATGGTTGGTACAATTTTATTTAATTTTTTTATTTTTAATTTACCTTGGAATGATCAAAACTTAAACCCTCATGCTTTCCTTTCATTAAAATTTGAACACTGAGAACGTCGTGATGTAATGGATTCGGATGAATATTAGTATAAATCGGTCGTACCGATCGGTTCGTGAAAGTATATAACCGATATCCACCATTAAAAAAATGTTAAAAAAGATACGATAAATTATGGTCTCTAAATAAAGCTTGACGTACTATTTTAAAATGTGAAAAAGAGGATTTTAAAATGTGAAAAAGAGGCTGAAGATTAAACTACCCTATAAATTGAACAAATTTTCACGAGATCATGTTGTTAAAGGATGGTCATGAGTTGGGTTGAGCCACGTACCAATAATGGGTGCATTTACAAGTGTACAAATGGTTGGACCCAACCAAGCCACGATGACTGAAAGTTGGAGATTAATGTAACTACCATGAATAGGGTGACTCATGAAATGCATATTTGGGACCCCAAATCATTAAGTGAATGATGAATGATTTCTTAATGACAAAATTGATATAATACCAACTGATTAGTTCAGTCGAAGTGAGTTTGTTGATTAGTTTAAAAACACAATTTTTTTTTCTTTCTTTTTTTTAATTATATATATATATATACATTTTAAATATGAGGTTGACTCTAGATGTGAAGACACTTGATTGCAATTAGAGTTTAGTCCACCAATTATTTCAGTCTCTCACCAGAACTTATTCTCCATCCATTATTGTTCTCAATTTTTTTTTTTTTTCCCTCACAAATTAGGAGAGGGGACTTGAAAGTAGACACACCCTTCCGGAACTAGGTGTTCTACCAGTTATGCCACTGAATAATGCCTCATTCATTATTGTTGTCTACAACCCTTTTATATTGTTATGAAATAATGCCAACATTTATATGTGTGGAAAAATAACAAAAATATTATTAAATTTTAAAATTATCATTAAAAATGAAGGGGAGACCAAAAAAAAAAAAAAAAAAAAACGTAAAAAGTAAAAAGTAGTAGAGCTTTGAGGGTTTTAAATCCTTTTTCCTAACTGCTCGTAACTCTAGCAGAATGATCCAAACCTATTATAAGGAGCAGAATACGAAATAAATAAATAAATAAATAATCTACATTCTTGTGTTTATGTGTGTCGATTTTTACTATTGGACAAAGTAATAGTCCTATGCATGTATCATGGATGTATGACTGTAAGATGAGCTGCTTTTGGGACCAATCATGCAGAGAAGTAATATAATTTAAAAATTCACAATATCTTCCAAAAAGAGAAATTTTCATTTTCAGACAAAAATGTATTGTTCATATGTGTAGATGTGCTCACACAAAAACAATTAAACTCAAAATAAATATTATATGGCATTTTGTTTTTTATCCTAGTCTGGACCCAGTGTTGAAATCTTCAAGTTGTTGCCTTCCTTCTGGATCGAGCTGGGTGGGACCAGACCAACATAGTCCACAAGCTTTGAAAAAAGGCGACGTTGTAATGTAATGCTAGATTCCAAATGTTACATATGTAGTATGCATTGTTAGAGTCTGAAAGTAACCTTGGTTGTTAATATCGAAGTGTACCAACAAATTTTAATTAAAAAAGGAGGATGGAGAAAAATTAATGAGCATTATTTCAGATGATATGATTTCTTATTTTTTTTAAAAAAATTGAGTGTTTGAATCTGGCCAGCTGAAATAATATTGTAAGTACATTCATATAACAATCAAATGACAAAGTTTAGTGGTACAATTTCTCTACCTCTTAAAATGAAAAACGAGAGCTCGAGTTCACAAACAGGTATGAGAGTGAGTTTATTGGCAATAAAAATATATATATGTATATATATATACATATATATATATAAAGTTATAAACATAACATATGTATATGTACATTGGATAATTATAATAGGATGGAGGTGTTAAAGGAGTTGAAGATGATAAGGAGAGAGGATAAATCTACAGTGTGAGACAGGTGAAACCAGAAAGATATCTAAGTTGAAATTGGTTCTGTAGAAAGGGACCCTCCAAATTGTACCCTATATACAGGGTCATGCAGGGTATCCCATCTCCTCAGTGGGTCCCATCTCTCTCTCTCCTCCCTTATAAGTCTTGTATGTGTGCCCTTGGAAAGTGGTGGAACGAAGGGTTGCCTAATTGATGATCCAGCAATGAAGCTATGAAGGTGCATGCCATCTCTCTCTCTTTTTCTCTCTCTAAAACCTAGTGCTGCTGCTTATAGATTTCTTTCTCTATTCTGTGTCTAAACAAAATTGCTCTTACCCCAATTGAACCACTCTCTCTTTTGTGTCAATATTACTTTTAAATTATTTTAGTACCCTTATTAAGTAATATTACTAATGTTACATATATTCATGTCTATCAATTGTACTAAAAGAATATAAGTTTGTGACTGGTTTTGTTCGTCCGTACAAATAACCTAGTCATCATTGAAAATGAGTACTGAACCTCAGAATTCAGAAGCTGAGAGTAGCTCAAACTCAAACTCATCATTTTTGTCATCCTCACATGGGTTAACTCAGTCACCACCAAACTCGGTCCCAAACTCATCAAACCAAGCCAGGCCGCAAGATGTAGAAGCCAAAACTATGATCAAGAGAATCCGAGACACCAGCAAACACCCGGTGTACCGGGGCGTCCGGCGCCGGAATTGGGGCAAATGGGTGTCCGAAATCCGTGAGCCGCGCAAGAAATCCCGCATATGGCTCGGTACATTCTCCACGCCGGAAATGGCGGCTCGGGCTCACGACGTAGCCGCATTAAGCATCAAAGGTGACTCGGCGATTCTCAATTTTCCTGAACTCGCCGAGTCACTGCCCCGGCCGGCTTCTCGATTGCCGCGCGACGTGCAAGCCGCGGCGGCTAAAGCAGCTGCAATGGACAAGTTTGATTTGCCTTCGTCGTTGTCGTCGTCGTCATCATCATTGTCGTCATTAGTTTCGGCTATGGAGTCGTCAGCTTCCGATGAATTGAGTGAAATTGTTGAGTTGCCGAGTCTGGGAACGAGTTTTGACTCACCCGAGTTGAAGGACGATTTTGTGTATGTTGACTCGGTTGATGAGTGGCTCTATCCTCCACCTTGGCTGCAGGGTGCTGATGATTGTGGGCTTTTTTCTTTTGAGTATTTGTCGTGGAATAATCAGTATTGAATTTGTTTATATTAATTTGCTTTTTTTTTTTTTTCCCCTCTAATCAAAAGTTTACATTTGTGAGGAGTGGAGAGGAAATGTAATCAATTTCCTTTAATCAAAGGTGTACATTTGTCTTTGTTTGAATATCTAGCATGGATTCATATTATGTCAAACTAAGGTTTTTTTTATTGGTTATTACAAGGAAGCTATCAAATTTTATTTCAAAAGAGAATAATCTTTTATTATGTTAGTGGTGTACAAGATTTGATTTGTTTTTATTTAGAAAATAAACTAAACATATACCTATTTGGACGATTCTATAAAAATTAAAATTGAATCGTTCCGATGTACCTATCTAAACTGTGTTAGTACTGATTCACTTTTACTGATTAGCTTGACTAAAAATATATGAATAATTACTTCTAACATGTATCTAAGTGCGGAGTGTTTTTTAATTAATCCAATTTTTACAATTTATATATGAAAGTTTTCCTACCTATTTGAGTAATGCACTTTTAACTTTTAAAATATTCTTGTAATATTATATATCAACAAGAGCTAGAATATAATTTTATTAACGTGGATGAGAGTTTAAGGTTATTAATATATGCGCAACATTGATTCAATCATTCCATGTGATCAAGTGCATGGTAGTCAAATGTTACCAACCAATTTCAAATGAAAAACAACATCGTCAATATTACAATATATGTGTGGAATCCTAGTTCGGTTCGGATTGATTTAAACTGATCCGATTTTAACAATTCCACTATGTTTTAAACCGGAAACAAACCCGCCGTGTCACAAACAGGGCCAATAATTGGTTTGGATGGGTTGATAAATTTCCTCAAATTCGGTGTGGGCCCACACGGGTACTAATCACTTTTAATGCACAAATAAAAATTCATAATATTGCAATCATTTTTCACGAAATTTTATATATATATATTTCAATTATGATAAAATAGGGAGAGGGGACTCAAACACAGACACATCTACTTAGAGATCTAGGCACTCTACCAATTAGGCCATTAAATAGTGTTTCGAAATTATATAGTTCACAATTGCAAGTTCATAATTAACTAAAAATGTTACAAATTGATAATTTTTCTCGAGACTTTTATGTTGCGTTTAGTATGCAGGAATGTGATTAGATTATATTGTTTGTTTGCAAATATGAAACGTGTGGGAATAGAATGATAATAATCATTCTAGTGTATGTTAGACCAATTTAAAATTTTGAATGAAATGATTTTTAAATTGAATTTTTCAAAATACCCCTTTTAGTGACAAATAAATTAAATTAACAAAATAACATTCTTCTATAATTTTTTTTTTAAAAATTGATAGTGATGGTAAATGGTGGTGACGATAATGGTGGAGGTGGAAGCGATAATGTTGTAAGTGGTGGTGTTGGAAGGCGACGGTGGCAGTGCTGACAAAAGGCGATAGTGGTGTTGGTGGAAGGCATTGACGGTGATGGAAGTAGTGGCGGTAGTGATGGAAAACGCCAATGGTGGAAATGATAATGGTAGAAGGCGATAGTGGTGTAAGTGATAGTGGTGGAAGGTGAAAGGTAATGGAGATGGTGGTGGTGGCGGAAGGCAATGGCGGTGGCCGTGGCAATAGAGGTGTCGATAATGGTGGATGCATGTACAATGCAGTGGAAGGCAATGGAGGCGGTGATGTGGCGGTGGTGGAAGGCGATGACAATGATTGTGATGAAAGGTGGTAGTAGTTTAGGTGGTGGTGATGGCAGCATCATGGTGGTGGTAATGGTGACGGTGGTAGTAATGATGGCAATGACAGTGGTGGAAGGTAATCGAGGTGGCGGTGGAAGGTAGTGGCAGTGGTTGAAATTGGTGTTGGTGATGGTAAAAGGCAATGGAGGTAGTGACAGTGTGGTGGTTAAAGGCAATAATAATGATGGCGATGGCAGTGACAGTGGTGGAAGGTAATAGATCCAGGTGGCAATGGTGGAACGTGGCGGTAGTTGTGGCGACGGCAACGGTGGTTTTTGGACTTGGAACTTGAGGGATTTTTGAGAATTTGATTTTTTTTTTTTATAAAAAAAAAAAAAAAAATTACTTGGAAATAGAATGACCATTCATAGATTTAGCTGTGGAATGAATTTTTATTCTAATGGAATGGACATTCTTACTTTAAATTGCATATTAAATAAAGAAATGATTGGAATAATTATTCATTTCATTCCTGCACACTAAACATAACATTATAGATTTGTAAACTAAGTCATTCGTCTATTGCGTACCTTCCAAAATAATTTACCTTATTGTTTTAAATTGGGGGCATCTAAAGTACAAAGTCATCGCAAGTTCACGCTGTATTGTCTGAGTGATTAGGGTATTTTCTGCGTTTGGGAGTCAGCCTGGCACTTTCTCCTTCCTCTCTAACAAGTTAACGTACTCCTAACATTCTTACCCTGAATATATACATATATAAAGTCATCTGTCACCATTTATCAAAACTCTGATTATCAATTGAGAGCAATTACTTGTTGACATTAATTTGAACTGTGATGGGAATTTTTTTTTTATTTTTTTATTTTTTATTTACAGAAAAATATATATATATAAAAAAGGTACTAAAAGGTACAAGAACTGAACTCGGAAAGGCTCCCACTCCTTCCACACCTCAAAACCCTACTTCTACTGTTGTGGTTTGCTTTTGGCAGATGGAAAAAGATGGTAGAGGTGAGATGATAGTGACAGATTTCCCCATGCATATATATAATTATATATATGTAACAGTGATGGCCTACACATGATTCACATGAACAGTGATGAGTCAGTCGATTCTTTTTGGATTTTTGTTCTTTTTGAGACTGAGTTCTATGGTTGTGACTAACTTGAAACATGCGTGATTGTTTTTTTTTACCCTTTCGTAAATTTTAGATGAACCACAGAAAAAGACTCAATGCAATTTAAAATTAAATATGAAACTCGAGTGTGTAACACGTATACCGCAACAATGGTAAATTGATAATGTAATATATTAAATATATTGCATTTTCGATTTAGACTCCAATTTTGACGTAAAATATATATTTTTAAATATATATATATTTTTTAAATAAAATATTTTTTTATTTTTATTTTGTTGATGTTTGACAAAAATATGATATCGAGTTCATCGGGAGGGACATGTAAAATTAAATATAAAATTTTAATATTATTTTTTTGTAAATATTTTAAGACAATCAAACACCAAAAAATAAAAAAAATATTTTTTTAAAAATATTTTACCTCCAAACAAATGGAGCTTTAATGACATTAATTTTACGTGATATAATGTTATTGTGTGATCGATATCTCATATATTTGCTTTGCTTTAAGATTTTTTAAAAAAAAATATTTTATCTCCAAACAAATGGAGCTTTAATGACATTAATTTTACGTGATGTAATGTTACTGTGTGATCGATATCTCATTTATTTGCTTTGTTTTAAGATTTATATATATTTTTTTTTGAGTTGACTTTATGTTTCTGTATTATCATCTTGACTTTAGGTTTTTGTGACTTTAAATTGAAAAAAAAAAAAAAAAAAAATCATTTCGATTTAATTTCACTAATTAATGGTACCCAGACTAAAATGTGTATGAATTCATTAACAATGGTATAATCTATACAGGAAGCTTCCTCTTTTTTCTCGCTGTGGCTTGTCAAATAATTGGTGGTTATTGAATGCGCACCAGTCTTATCCTTTTACCTACCCAAAAGAGAATGGCTCATCATTCTGAATAGTCTCTTCTGTCAAATAATTGTGTGTGTGTGTGTGTTTGTGTTGACGAATGATTTCAACTTCTTATGGTTTGTTTAATTTACAGCCTAGCCTTACTCACATTATAAGGTATATCCTTTCACCTGCCGTGTAACTTCAGAGAGATCAGACATGGATATTATGTGTGTTAAACTTTTTGAGCAATAATAAACACTTTTTTATTTATTCTTCATTTTTACAATTATATCCTTCACATATAAGTGTTGATGCAAAATTCGGCATAATATCGACGCGGTACTGGTCAAATGTATTTCGACGGTCAAAAATTTTATATTTAATTTGAGTCGTACTTTAATGGATTGACCAACCCCCTCCTTTTATAGAGGGTCTTAGTAATAATGTCCATCCGATGAACTCTTGCTTGAGCTTCCGTGTCGCTTGAACCTTCCAACGGGTCAGATATTCCTAATCAAGGGGAAACAAGTACCACGAACTGCAAAACAAAGGGTTAATAATTATCTAAAAAATGTAGTCTTTGTAATCTTTACTACTTATAGCCTTTGTAATATTCCGTGTCAAGGAGAAACAAGAACTACTGACTGCAAAATTAGTGGTTAATTAGAAATTTGCTTCTCTTTACCCAAATAATTAACTATTTTATTTATTTATTTTTCATTTTTTTTTACGATTATACCCTTCACTATATTGTGGCAAAAGAGTGAAGATGAGTGTTAATGCAAAATTCTGCATCACTTGGAGCCGGAGGCTTCCCTGCGAAAAAAGAGAAGTGACGGTGTACCCTGACGATCAAATTACTTTATATTTAATTTGTGTCATACCATAATCGGTTAAGTGACCCTTCAGAAAGTCTTAATAATGGTGTTCATGCACCGAAATCGATTCCTTAAACTTTTTCTTCACGACTGGGAGTATAATTATCAGAAAATGTAGTATTTGTAATCTCTACTTGTGGCCTTTGGACTTCTTATGGGGACATCAAGGAGAAACAAGTACTATTGACTGCAAAATTAGTGGCTAATTAGAAATTTGCTTCTCTTAACTCGAATATTTAAAAAAGAAAGGAAATAGAAAAAGGAATGACACACAATTAGTGATTCAGTGGAATAAAATATAAAATTAAATGGGTGTCATATATTCGTTTGGTTGGAGGGATGGAGAAATTGATGAAAGAGATAGGGGGAGGAATGGATGAGATATCCCTAAGGAAAGGAGGGTGTCTTTTCCATTTTATGTTTGGTTAAATATAATAGATAGTAGAAATGATGAATAGAGTAATACTTTTTTTTATTTGGTTACAAGGAAGGAAATAAGAATTCTTATATTATTTTTACTAGTACACGCTTATGTATAAAACTATAAAAAATAGATATTTATTTCAAAATTTTTAAAAAGATTAAAATTGTAAATTAT